CTCCCCCCCCAATCCTTAGCAACACCCTCTGTCACTTCCTGGTTTTTCACCCGCCCCCCCAGGTCCCCCTCCCTCCGCCCAATAAGGATATAAACTTCAACCCCTCGGTCCAGCCAGTCCCTGCAGGGCGCAGATGGCTCCCTCCCTCCCTTTTCGCTCCCTTCCTGCAAGCTTTTACTTTGCTCTCCGAGCCTTTCCCACCCTCCTCTTTTTCCCTCCTTCTTTCCTTCGGTCTCTTTCTCCCTCCACCTGCCGCGGTCCCTCTCCCCCTCCCTCTCCCTCTTTCTCCTCCAGCCCCTATCTCTCCCAGTCCACCTTAACTCGGGCTCCGCCCCCAACCCCCATCCAGCCCTCCGCGGCAGCTCCGCCCCGCCCCCTGCACTCCACCGCCCTGCCCGCCCATTGGCCTGCGCACCCGCCCATCTCAAGCGGGTCCTGCCTCGCGTTCCGCCAGGGAGGGGGCGGAGCCGAGGGGCTGGCCTGAAACCTGGAGGAGGGAAAGGGGGAGGGGGCAGTGTCCGCAGTGGCCCGGGAGCCCGAGCCCCCATCAAGGGCTCTCGGTCTCCATGCGGGGCCTTTGTACGGTCACCTCCTCGGGAGGGAAGGGTATGAGAGGTTAAGGATAGGCCAAGTGGGGGTGAGGCGGGGACTTAAGGGATTGAAGGGGGGGGTCCCGTGAGGGGCTATAATCAGGTCAGTGCCCCGGGAGGTAGGGGGAGGGGGAGCAACCAGGCCGTCAGCTCCGGCTCCTACGCCCCACCCCGACGCTGAGGGAGCGGGGGAGTGGAGGCTGCGGGCACCCTGCGTCCCTCCCCACGCGTGACGGCGCCCCGCGGGGAGGAAACGGCGCCCTGGGCAGGCAGCCTCTGCGCTCCGGCCGGTGCCCGCTGCGGCCTTGGCATTGTCGGAGGGGAGGGGCCGGGGCCGCGAAGAGGAGGGGAGGCGCGCTCTCGCTCCCGCACCCCGCCTCCATCCCGCCTGTGCCCTAAGTGTAGAAACTGAGTCTCCGCGAGGGTGGGAACCTCGGGCCAGGGATCCAGCCGGAGACCCGGGGGGCCCGGGGGGCCGGGGTGGGGGGCAGGATACGTGCTTCAGTGCCCCCGCCAGGGAGGAAGGTTCCCTGCGAGGGGCGTCTCCAGCGGGGCCTGCCGCGCGGCGCACCCCGGGGAGCCCCTCCCACTGGTGTAAAACGGAATCAAATCCGGCTACCGCGGGCCAGGTTCCGCACCCCGAGGCCGGCCGGGCCGAACCGGGTCCGGCTCGCTTTCTCCTCCCCAGCCCCCTCCACAGGGGGCCTCCTTCCCTTTCCAGCAGGTGGCTCCGCGGGACACCAGCTCAACCTGTTGGACCACAGTGGGCGGCGCCAGGGGGGCCCTGGCCCTCACCCGGGCTGACCCGGGATCCCCGCGCTGGGGGAGGGGCGGAGTCCCGGTCCCTCCCTCCCTCCCTCCCTCTCCGGCCGTGACTCAGCCTCGGAGCCGCTGCCCTGCGCCCCAGCCAGGGGCGGAAAGTGTGAGGCGCCCCTGAGGGCCAAGGCCAAGCCAAACAGCCCCCCACTTCAGACATTATCTCACTGGAGAATTAGAGGGGCTGTAGGAGGGAGGGGGCACCAGCAAGCCCGGGGCGCTCCCGCTCGCCGAATCCGCTCCGGGTTTTCCTGTCGTCCCTGTCCCCCTTGGGCCCCGCGGCGGGTCAGGGCTCCGGGTTTTCTTCTCGGCCCCGCGGGGCAGAGTCTGGTCGGTGAGGGCCGGGAGCGCCACGGGGGAGGGGGGCGGCGGCAGGCCGGGGCTTTCCCCTCCTTTCTTCAGCCGTCGGGGTCGCGCGGGGGAAGAGTCGTGCCAGGGGCTTGACGGCAGGGCCCGACGCGCACGTGAACCGGAAAGGGGGCTGCTTCGTAGTGGGGGGTCGTGATGGCCCGGGGAAGGAGGGCGGGAAGGCGGCTCGGGGAGGGCAGAGCCTGGGCCTCCGCAGGCCGTCTGAGGGCGGGCGCCTTGGCACCAGTCCCCAGGTCCAGAGAAATGAAAGGCGCCCGGTGCCTCGGGCCCGCCGCGGCCCCCCTCTCAGGGTCGCCTCCGGACTCTTGGCTGGACCCAGTCTGGACCTGCAGGCAACGGGAGTGCCATTCTCCACTCTCTGGACAGTTCTGGAACCTCCAGTTTGTTTCTCAGGGACAACCCCCCCCCCCCCCCACTACCCAGGTTTCTCTTCTGGTCCATAAAGATCCCTTCCTGGCTCAGAAGCGGAGAGGGGACCTGACCTGAAGTTCCCGCGTCCCCGCAGCTCCTGGCCCTTACCGCGCCAAACCACAGCCTGCGGGCTGGGAAACCCTGCCTGGGGCCTGTGCCCCCTCCCACCAAGCCCGGGCCAGGCCCCAGGGGCCCGCTGCCAACCCTGCCTGGCCACCAGGCCCGGACTGGCACTGGGGTCTGGAGGGCAGGTGTGGAGCCTGCGGGGGCCTCCTGGGGAGAGCGGGGCAACCCAGACCCGCAGGTTCAGACATAAGTCTCGGGAGACCAGCTGGACCTCACTTTGGAAAGGGGGAAAGTGGCGGGAGGTGGGTAGATACCGGGGGAGTGATATGGGACTATATGGGCCTGACCAGGGCGGAGGATGAAAGCCCGGGCTGGGAGTTAGTACTTCCTAGGGGGGTGTGCTGGGGCCGGGGACAGCGACTCTGCGGGACAGCCAGGTGCAGGGACTGGCCGGGCCACGTGTGCTCTGGGGCAGCTGCACAAGTTAGCGGCTTGCAGAGCCTGGAGGGAGAGGGCTTCTGGCGGAAGAAAGGCGAGGTTCTGTCTGGGCGGGGTCCTGAGTGAGTGGGTCTGGGGGTCTGTCTTGGAGGGTGGGGGGGGTGCCGCTGAGCTGGAAGCGGAGCGTCAGCCTGCCTGCCCTGGGCGCCCTCCTCTTCCCCGCTCCCCCCTTGCCTCGGCTGCCTCCGCTTCCCTCGAAAAACCCGCCGCCCAGGAAACCGCTGGGGGCGCTCAGACCGCAGCACCCCCCCCACCCCGCCCGGCGCCCCCACTGCGACCGCCCAACCCACCTGAAGGGGCCGTGGCTGCCAGGGTTGCCCCTCCCGCCGACTCCCCCCACACCTGCGGGCGCACTATTTATAACTCGGCGCCTCCTCCGGGCCCCCGCGCAGGAGCCGGCTGCGCCTCGGAGCTAATCGTCCCCGGGATCTCTGCGCCCCCCACGGCGGGGGGAGATAAATTTAGCCTCACGAAGCTCGGGGAACATTTTCCAAAACTCCACGTCCCAGGGAAGGCGGCGCGGAACCCCTCTGCCCTCCCGGCAGCCAGCAGGAGGCGCGGGTGTTGGGCTCCCGGGAGGGACGGCGGGGACGGAAGGGACCGGGGGCGGCGGCCGGGGGACCCCAGCGTGGCGGGACGAGCGGGCACGCCTCCGAGGCTGGCCAGGACCGGAGCAGGTGCTCGGCGGGGAGCGCCCGAGAGGGGGGCCGGGGCCTTTCGGAGAGGAGAGGCTGCGGTGCAAACGAGACGCGAACAGGAACGCGAGGAAGAGCCTGTGCCCTTGGGGGTCTGCGCTCCGCCGCGGCGGGGACCACGGCCGCCGCCCTCCTCCCGTCCGCTTCTGAGTGTTCCTGAAGACACGGGCCCCATCGGAGATCATTATCGGAATAGTCCGCTGTGCTCCGCGAGGCTCCCAGACCCCTTCTCCGGGACCCCGAGCCTCCACCTGCCCTTCGCACACCATTGGGGTCTTATATCCCACTAATCTGCTAGGAGTCCTGGGTGTCAGGCTGCTCCTCCCAGGGCTGTGGCCTGTGGGGTCCCTAACAGCTCCGCGGAGGCTCTTTCCCGGCTCTACCGTCCATTCCCCTACCCCTTGTGGCCACCGGAGAGCCCCTGGGCACTCGGGGTAAATAAGATGTCCCTCATCGTCCCCCTCGGCCCTCCACTCCCCGCTTCTGCGGCCCCATGACGTAGTTCGAACACCTGAGCCTCCTCCAGCCGGGCCGAGGAAGCTGTGGGGAAGCTCCTGCATCTCTTTCCCTTGGAGAGGAGGGGGGAGGCGTAGACCAGGGAACCATGTCCTGGCCTGTGTGTTTAGGCAGAAAAGGCATAGCTGGGACCCCCAGAGGAGCCCTCGGAAAGCAAGAACAAGAGCTGCTTAGAGTGGGGGTGGGAGTGGGAACGGCAGGGGGTGCAGCTGGGGGGTGGGTTCTGGTCCTCTCCGCACCTTGGCCTGCCCACCCCTCCCCCAGTACTATTTCAAAACAGGGGGGCTGGCTGGTCCAGAGAAGCCCTGAAGCTGAGATGAGAAAATACGGTTCAACGGTTGACTACCCACTGCAGCGCCATGGGCGTGACCTTGCACGGGACGCGTCCCACCTCTCTGGGCCCATTTCCTTCCAGTTAGTGTGGGAGGACTGCCCTCGCCCTGTCTGCTTCTCAGGTGGACTTGTGTCAGTCTCCGCACACTTGGAGTGTGAGCAGTGTGCTCTCCGAGTATATGCAAGCTTTTCCTTGTTCTCCCCATCCCTCTCCTCCGCCTCTCCATCGTCAGGGCTCTCTGGATAGCTGACACTGGCCTCGGGCCACCGCAGATCCCTCTTTTCACTTCTGGGGCCCTCCCATCCTCCATCCACCACTTCCCCTGGGGGTCTTTGCCAGACACCCCCTTCCCTGGCAAAGGCGCTGGAGCTCAGAGCTCTCAGACTCCAGGGTCCACCTCCGTGCACCGTCCCAGCTGGGTGGGAGCAGGGCCCAAGAAAGGAAAGGGAGGCAGAAGGCCAGAGCTTGAGTCAGGGGAGGGGCTGACCAAGCAGGTGTTGGCTATTGTGGGGGGTCCTGGGAGCCCCACACTCCTGCGGGAAGGTGACTTCTGTGTCCTCCTCTGCCACCAGCCTTTCTATGGTTGGATTCAGGAACTTCTCCCTTCCCTCTGCTGTGCCCTGGGGTGCAGTTGGGGTCAGAGGGGCCTGGCAAGAGCACTGAGCTCATCATGTGGGTGCCTAGTGCCTAGAGAGGGTTGCCCGCTGCTGGGATAAAAAATCATCTTGAGGGGGTGCCTGGGTGGTTCAGGGGGTTAAAGCCTCTGCCTTCGGCTCAGGTCATGGTCTCAGGGTCCTGGGATCGAGCCCCTCGTCGGGCTCTCTGCTCGGCGGGGAGCCTGCTTCCTCCTCTCTCTGCCTGCCTCTCTGCCTACTTGTGATCTCTCTCTCTGTCAAATAATAAATAAAATTAAAAAAAAAATCATCTTGAGGCACGCCTGGGTGGTACACTTGGTTGAGTCCAACTCTTGGTTTTGGCTCAGGTGGTGATCTCAGGGGTGTGAGATAGAGCCCTGTGTTGGGTGGAGAGATTATTTGAAACCAAGGAAAGTCTTAAAAAAAAAAAAAGAAAAAGAACGCATACACGTTCAGGCCGGCCACTTGTCTCCACTGCTCTGAGCCACCGGCACGTCACCGGCACAGCAGCCAGTGTGAAGACCCCACGACAGCTTTCTCTTACCCGGCTTGTGTGGCCCTCTGCGACCTGCCCCACACCCACCCCACCTCAACTTCTCTTTTCCAGAGCACCTATCCCCCAGTAACACCACTACACTTATTCTTTTGTCATTATTTCCTGGGTCTGCCCCCGAGAACAGCAGCTCCCCGAGTACACAGGGGCCTGTTGGGATCACCACCATATTAAAGCCCCCCACCCGGCGTCGAGCGGGGGCTCGGTGACATTTGTGGAGCAAATGCAGCTCGTGCACAGACTATCTCTGGAATGCTCTCCAAGGGACGGGTAAAGCTGACCGGCTCCCGGCAGGAGCGCCGGGGGCGGATGGGGACCAGGAGGGAGGGTCATGTCCCACCAGTGCAACTTCTTACTCTGGGTCTCTGTTACCTTCCCAACAAGAGGCACTACAGGCCCAGAGAACAAGGACTGAACTCGCAAGTCAGCGGAAAGGCTGGTCACTGGGAGTGAGCAGAAGGTCCTGTAAACCATCTCTAGGCCTGTGCCCCAGGAGGGGAGGGCGGGGCCGGGGCGTGCTGGCTCTGAGGTTGTGGGGGGCTGAGAGCAGGCCTGCCACCAAGCGTGAGCAAGGTGCTGTCCACGGTGGAGTTGCGGGACTTGGGGGAAAGCACGCGTCACTGGCTGCCAGGGGGAGGTGGAGTTAGTTCTGTTCCTTCTGGCCGTTTGTACCCACTCTGCGGTAAGCCCCAGGAGCCTGGGTGGCCGCACAGGCGCGGTTCACCGTAGCCGCCTGTGTGAGCTGGAGGAGCAGGGCCCGACGTCCTCTGTGAGCTGTGGACCCGCAGCCGCCCCGTGCTCTGCCCCAGATCTTCAGAGGCAGGGACCTGACCAGACCAGCCCTTCTATTTAGGTTTCCAGTCTAAGGCACAGTGTCTCCCAGAAGGAGACCCCACCCAGGCTGGACCGCTCCCTATCCACCGGTGGGGAGGAACCCGACCGTTCCCGCCCCAGCCTCCCAGCCCAGGCATCAGGGAGTCAGAACAGCTATTTTTTTTTTTTTTTTTTTAATCTCAGTTCTGTCCAGGACAACCTTTTCTTCCCTGGTCTACCCTAGCCCCGAGACGCTCCAGGGCTGAGTTTCTCTGATCCCTTTCAGACAGTTAGAACTTTAGGCCCCAAGGCCCGTTTATTTTATGTACACACACATGCACCTATGTACATGCACACACATTCATAGCTCAGTGACTCTCAAGCAGCAAGATGGGGGCAGCCCCTTCCTGGCACTAAGAGAGCATGGAGAAATCAACCATCTGGGCTGGGGGCTCACTGTGCCAGGCTTGGAGAAATGCCAGCTCCTGCGGCGGTCTTCCTGGGGTCCCGGCCAGCAGGCCGAGCTCCTGGGCTCCGGAGGTCCACCCGAGGTGGGGGCTGGGAATGGAGGCCCCGAGAGGCCAGACCAACAGATGGCACACCGGAAGCAAGATCCACACTTCCCACAGTGTCTGCGGCCCCTCCGTGGTGGAGCGTGGCGGGCCCCAGGGGTCTCGATGGGGGCTGGGCTGGGTGCTAGAGCAGAGAACAGGAGGCTGAGAGGCAGGCTCTGGCCCTGAAGCAGCGGCCGTGCTTCCTGTTTGCCCTGCCCTACCCTACCCACCCTGCCCACCTGCGCTGAGCCGAGGTCGGGGCCCTCCCTGGCCATCGTCAGTCCAGCAGCTCCTTGATGCACCAGCAACACAGGAGAATGTAGGCAACCTCCTTCAGGGTCTGCTGCAGGCCCTCCCATCCCGTGCCCACCTTCATGACGGGTACCCGGAGCCCAGTGTCTCGCAGGGCCCTCCGGAAGGAGAAGGGCAGGGCCTGGGCTAGCGGCTGCACCAGGGGCTGCATGAGGGCAGCAGCTTTGGGGCGTGTGGGAGCCGCCTCTGGGGCCTTTTATCAGCAGTGTCCCCACCCCCTCAGGCCTCATGACTACGGACAAAGGCCCCCAGGGTCTAGCACAGGGAAGCTTCTGGCCCAAGAACGGGCTGAGTCAGCCTCTGTGGACAGGGATGGAGGCTGGGGTTGGGAGAGGGAGGGAGAGCCCGGCCACCCCAGCCTCCATCCTCCCCTCCACAGCCAGGCCTGCTCAGCTTCCAGCCCAGGTCTCCAGACCTTGGGGCCAAGCCTGCGGCGTTACCTCTTCCCCCAGTGCCCGGCACAACTCCAGGCTCCTGCCGTCTGGGGGGCTCCTGCTGAGGCAGGCCTTGGGAATTGTGCCGAGAGCTCCTTTTCAGTCTGCACGCGCGTGCACACACACACGCACACGCGCGCCACCCCCTTGCAGGGAGCTGCCGGGTCCCCTCTGGCATCTCCCATCCCCTGGAGCAGGAAGACACAGCCCGGGTGGGACAGGAGAGACATAGTTTATTGACAGCTGACACCCCAGGGCACCTCCGTTCCCTACTGCGGCCGGGCCAGGCGGGCAAGATCAGGTGCGAGGTCAGGTGCGGGAGTTCCGCTCTTCATCCTCGTTCTCCAGCAGGTAGGCGGGGCGGTAGGCCGGCTGTCCTCCAGGGCTCAGGTACTTCAGGGCTGGGTTCCGCACCGTGTTCTCCCGGCCCCCCAGTGAGGTGTAGCTGGGGGAGCAGGGAGGTGAGTGTGGGGGGTGGCTCGCCCTCCCCCCACATCCCGTCTTCCCCATACCCACTGTCTCCGCAACCCCTTACCCCTTACCCACGGTCGTACAGGATACAGTAGGGGACAAAGAGCTGACGGAGGAAGTCCCAGATGTCTCTGTAGGTCCAGTCCTGGGAGGTCAGAGCGGAGTCACGGGTCCCCTCCCTCACTTACCCCTTGCCGCCCAGGAGGAGCCCGCCCAGGGTGCTGCTTCTTGGTCCCCGAGGGCGGGCCCCTAGCTGATTCTCTAGTGCGGCTCACCGACCTACACAGGTAGGCCACTGGCTGTGGCAGAGAAGCCTTCATCTTGCCCCCGGCCCTGGCCCCTCCACGCACCTGTCTGTGTGAGCCCGCGGCGAGCAGGCCGGCCTGCGCAGGGGTGGAAATGGGCCCCAGCTGTGCCTTCTGACACGGGGCACCTGAAATGACCTTGGCGCAAATCAGGGACTGAACTTTGACTTTCCGCAGGCCACTGAGTTCATCCTTTTAAAGCCCCCATTTTGTTAGTTTTAGTAGTTCTTTTTTTTTATTTTCTCCCCTCGCCATCCACCCGCAGGTGGGCACGCGCCGGCTAAGCTGCCCTTTTGGCCCTCTCCCCGAGCTCGCCGGCCCCCACTCAGGGGCCCGCTCCTCCCACCAGCCCCATTTTTAGTAGTTATTTAATTTTAGGAAACTGCAGCTTGAGTGTAAGTGGGTGGCCAGCGGCCCCCACACTGGGCAGCACAGACCTAGCGGGAGAGAGCACGCGCCTGCTCTCAGGGTGCAGTGGGCAGCGCTCAGGCCCGAGGACCCGACGGCACAGCCTCCCTCGGGCGGGTGTTTCTACATCTGAGCCCCAGGCTCCAACCGCTCCCCCACGGGGAATAGGGATGGGGAGACTGGAGGCCCCACAGCCTCTACCCCGTTACCAGCAGCGGGTTGATGCGCATGAAGGCCGGCCAGCCAGGGTCGGTGGGGCTGAAAGGGCAGAGGCTGCAGGAGTAGGGGTCCGTACGGCGGGTGCCCATCAGCACAGCCTCCAGCTGGGGGTGCTGTGTCCGCAGCTCGCTCAGGGCCTGCTTCATGTCTCCCTCAGCCTCCAAGACCCGTAGATTGTACCTGGGGAAGGAAGGGGTCTGTGGTCAGAAGTGGGCACTGCTGAGCCCCCCCACCGGAGCCCCAGCCTCTGGGCACCTAGTACCTCTTGATGGTGTCCTGTAGGAACTGCTCGAGCTCGGGGAAAGGGGAGATGCTGCGGATATACAGGATCTGGAGGGGTTCCTGAGTGTCGGGGCGTTTCCTGGGTAGGGGACAAAGCATAGGCTTGCCGGGCAGGCCGGGAAAGGCTCTCAGAGGACTCGCACCGTTCTCCCTGGACGGACAACCTCCCATTCGCGGCTCTTCTGGTCCTTCCTATCCACCAGAATCACTTCCTCTGGGAAGCCCCTTCTGATCTCTCCCTTCTCAGATCTGGAGCACGCAGCCCTATGTCAGGTGAGTAACTGCCACCTCCCCAACAAGACTGTGACCTCCCTGTGTCCCGGTGCAGGATGATGACCTTCAGGTCCATGCCCCGGGCACACCATGTCAGATGCTCAGTAAGCGGTGGGGAACAGAACTGGAGGCCACCAGGGCCACCTCCCTCCCATACCCCACCTGCCGGCCACCCCTTCCCTTCTGGCTTTCTTGGGCCTCACGCAGGGAGCTGGACAGGAGGGCAGACGGGCCCCCTGAGGCCTCACACCCCGGGGTCAGCTCACCTCTGCGCGGCGGCATGGAAGAGATGCAGGAGCGCGGTGCAGTCCTTGCCTCCGTTGAAGCCCACGCAGAGGCGGGTGAGGTCGTACCGAGCCAGGGCCGTCTCGATGGTCTGCAGGGCACCTGCCACCTTTTCCCCCAGAGAAGACCCTACGAGCAGACAGACGAGAAGCCATCAGCTAGATGCACGTGGCCGTGGGAGGGCGGGGGTGGGGGATGGGAGCACGCCGCCCTTGCTTCAAGTCTCTGTGGCTTCCCAGAGTGGGTCGGGTACCGTCCGGACTCCCATGCCCTGCAGAGTGTGCCCGCCAGCCCTGCAGCCCCACCTCGGTGTCTGCCCTCTACGGCCCCCGGTTTTCTTCTGTTCCCTGAGTTCCCACATTGTCTGCTCTCGACCACCTCCTGGGCTGACCTCCCTGCCGCGGACGGAGGCCCCTCGTCAGCGCCATGTCATACCCGGGGACCTTTCTTGTCACGCTACTAGCCCAGAAGGGCCTGGTATACGACTGTGCCGGCGAGCTGCCCAGCCCCAGGCCCCGGAGGGCACCCATGCCATCTCGGTGCACAGGAGCCCCCGACAGCTCCCCACGTTCCCGAGGCCCAGGGAGTCAGCCCAGCGCACTGCGCGCCGCCCTTCCCCGTGGAGGCCTCTACCTGATTCGGCGAGTCTGTACACGGCCTCGCTGGCCTGCGGCACGGCGTCGGGCACGTAGGGGACCAGCGACCCCGGGGGCAGGCGGGCGGTCAGGTAGGCCAGGCCCTCCTCCAGGGGCCCTTCCTCCTCCGAGTCCAGAGTGAGCTTCACTTGATAATAGTTGCTGCCCCAGTCAGGGTAGGAGCCCAGGCCCAGCCTGCGCCCAAAGTGGGCCTGGGCCTCGGCCAGGATGGGGGCGATCGAGGCCTCGTCGGCGGCCACATAGAGCTCCCGCAGGTGAAACTGCACAGCAGTGTTCTGGAACAGGCCCTTCAGCCCTTCCAGCACCCTTCGCAGCAGCTCCGGAATGCCCGGGAAGAGGTAGACGTTCCGGACGGAGACCAGCGGCAGCTCGAAGGGCCGGCCAGTGCGGGGATCAGTGCCGTAATGCAGGCGGGCGGAGGAGGGCACGAGAGACAGCTTGGCCCAGCCCTTCCCTCCCAGGGCTCTGATGGCTGCTTCCAGCTCAGGGTGTGGCCTGAGTTTGTCCCCAAAGGCCTGCGCTACTGCCTCGAAGGTCACGTCGTCATGAGTGGGGCCGATGCCCCCTGCCGTGAGGACGTGGGTGAAGCGGCTGGAGAAAGAAGTGACCTCAGCCGCGATGGCGGCGACCTCGTCGGGAACAACAGAGACTCGGCACACCTGGACCCCCAGGGAGCGCAGTGTCCGGCACAGAAAGTAGGTATTGGTGTCCTGAGTGTGTCCCTGGGAGGTGAGACGGGGACCATGAGAGTCAATGCCACGGGGATGAAGGGCAAAGGGTCGTGTCTGCCTGATGCTGGGGCACCGTGCTCTTGGGGGACACTGCCTTGGGCCGCCAAAAAGCCTGGACTGGGCACCGAAGTGAGGAAATCCATCTGAAGGGTCAGGGACAGCATGAACTGCCCTGGGCCTCTTTCTCTGTACTTTCACCTTGACCTCATCTATGCTTATGGAGTCTGTGGTCAATTCCTCACCAGCCCTGACAGTTCAGTCCCCTTGTCCACCATGGACGCACTAGGCATCCTCACCACATTCCTGGCGGTTGTCCCTTTGGTCAGTGGCACCCCCAGACACTGTCCACAGCCAGTCGGGCCCTTCCGCTGTCGCCTCTACTGCCATGTCTCCCTATCTGCATCTGCTCTCTTCTGTGTCCCTACTGCCCCCATACAGGCCCTTGGCACCTTTTATCTGGACAGTGGTGACAGCCCCCTGGCAAGGCTCCCAGCCTCCAGTCATAGCACTGCCCGGGGCCTCCTAACTAAGCTTCCTAATATGCTACTGGGGTTGCACCACTCTTGGGCTCAAAACCCATGTGTCGTTTCCAACCATATACAGAATAAAGTTCAAATTCCTTTGCAGAATTTTTGACGCTGTGTCGCCGGTGTGTAGCCCATATTCTTTCCCAGCCCCGTCTCCTTCTACTTCTCTGCAGGGGGCTTAGTGGGTAAGGGTTACCCTGGAGGAAGGGAGAATCGGGCTGGAATCCCAGTTCTACCACTCCGAGCTCTGCTACCTCCAGCAAGCTTCTCAGTCTCGTAATCTATTAACTGAGATTTATAGTAAAAGTATCAAACCTCGTGAGAATGTTCTAAGGATTAGTAAGACGGTCTATGTGATATATTCAGCATGCTGCCAGGCCCGAGTAAACCCTCAGAAAACAGGGTCAGTGCTGCTATTCCAACCTGATGCCTACCATGACCTCTCGAAAGAATTCTGGATTGTTCAGAAAGGATTTCTCCCATCTAGGACTCTCCTTCTTTTTTGCTTACTCACTCTGCTGAATGCCTTGGGTCATATTCGCAACAGGTTGGCTAGAACTTCCGTGATAGCACATGCACCCATTCCTCCTTGACCTGATGGACTCCTTGTCATTCCTGTAAGGTCCCTCCTACCTCTATAAGCCCCTTGACAAATTGTAGTGACTTTGCTACAAGTTTTCAACGGAGTAACTGAAAGAACAGAGGGTCACTTTCCCTGTAATAGGCTGGACTCACGCCAGGACCCTACTGCAGCAAGGGGACTCACCCCATCCCCTCCCCCGGCTGCCTCCCCTCAACAGAAGGGCTGCAGGCGCTTAGGGATGGGAGGATGCCACCCCCTCCCCCCTCTCCTGTCCCAGACACACCTTGAGGATCTCATCTCCAACAATGATGATGCCCGCCGTCACGCTGCGCCCTGGGGGAGGGTCAAAGGCCCTAGATGCCATGGTCCTGCCTTCTCTGCCCCTCTGCAAGGCCCTCCAGAAGCCACCCAAGGCCCCCCAAAGGGGTCGAAAGCACGGGAGTCGCGCCAGGTCTACAGGGCACTGGGGGCCATAGCCTGAAAACAGGGGGGTCTGGGGTCAAGGGAACCTGGAGGAGCCAGAGAGGACACCGGGGGAGAGCGGGAGTGCCCGTTCTTCCTCAGAGGAAGACCTCGCCAGGCGCTGGGTAAGAGTCCTTTATCCCAGCCTCTAAGAAACGGGTTCTCAAACCCAAGCCCGGGCCTCTTCACATGTCTTCTGGGCTTGGCTCTAGTCTCAAAACGTCCTGCTCTCCCGGCACCCACCCCTTTGAACAGGTCTGCGCGCCGAGCTCGGCGCCTGCACCTGCAAATACCTCCTCTCGGGGGGCACCGTGCCTTCAAGTGCCTCGACCCCTTAAGACGCCCCCAGCCCGCTTCGCCCCGGGGCTCAGGCGCCTCTCCCGCACGCGCCCGCACCCTCTCCCGCCTGCAGTCCCGTCCCCCCGCCTCGCCGCAGCCCGCCCCGCTCTCCCACGTCCCCACCTGCCTCTCCGGCCCTTGCCCGGCTCGCGCCCTCTGCTCCCGCACGTCCCGGGCGGCCGCCGCACGCAGTCCCGCCTCACACCCGCACCTGCTCACAGCAGTTGGCCACTCGGCTGTCGCTCACACGAGTTCCAAGGGCCCATTGGTGCAGCTGGCTGTCGCTCGCCCGCCTTAGCGGGGGGGGGGGGGGGGAGGAGCGCCGGGTTGTCATTGGTGACAAGCGCGTGGCCACGCCCCCGGAACTGCGGGGGCGGGGCCGCGGGCGCGGGGGCGAGCCCCGGACGCGGAAGGGGCGGTGGTGGGCGGTGCTCCAAGGACTTGGGGTGCGCTCTCCGCGGAGGCAGGTGAAGGAGGCGTGCCTGTCGCTTCTGTCCTGCTTTCCAGTTCTCGTTGCACGTGCTGTCGGCACTGCCTAACTCCAGGCGCGGGGGCTGCCGCCGGAGGGGTTGTGTAAAGTAGCGCAGGCCGGCTGCGGGACACCAGGTGTCAGCACTGCCTGGGGTAGGAGAATCTTGGAGGGGAGTTTTCACTCACCTCCGTTATAAACGATAAAGCCCTAAGCTTGTGCTTCACCTGTTGATAAGACACCCCCCCCCGCCCCGCCGAGAGTGCTCAGTTTAACGTCACCGTTGCCCGATTACTGGTTTCGCAGGTACCACTGAGGGCAGCCGACTAGGCCGTGCTGTGTGTCCGCCTCGGATTCTCATGTCATCCCAGTTTATCTTCATTTCAGTTGCCTTTGGTCTAAAAGTGTTTCTTAAATTTTAATGTTTGATCTGGGACCTTTTAAAAAATTGTTTTATTTTAAGGAGTATCTATCTGCCCAAGGCGCATTCTGAGCTCACTACCCAGAGTCGCTCGCTCTACTGACTGAGAAGGCCAGGTGCTCCCACTGGGGACCTTAATAGGCTGGTTTAGTCTCTCCCATCCAGGAGGTTTGGGGTGGGAGCCTGGGATCTGCATTTAGCAAGCTCTACGGTCGTGCCAATGCTCCCGGTCCCTAGACGGCTCTCTGCAGTAAGGCCTCTGAGTTCACTCATCACTTGGAGAACAGCTGAACCATGCCCACCCTCATTTTACTCTAAGGCCCAAGACATTCAATCCCCATTTTACAGATGGGCCACAGGCTAAGAAAAGTTAGGAGTGCCACACAGCAACCACAAAACACTAAAGTGAGAGGAAGAGCCTGGCTTCTAGACCATTCTTTCTCAAGCAATAAGCCCTGTGTGTGTGGTGACCCTGATGGGGGACTCCATTCCAGCACCCTGAGATGACGATCTGAGCCGAAGGCAGATGCCCAACCGAGCCACCCAGGTGCCCCTTTAATTTTTTCCTCATTATTTATTTATTTATTTGAGAGAGAGAGCACAGAGGGAGTGTGAGAGGGAGAAGCAGGCTCCCTGCTGGGTAGGGAGCCGAGGCGACGCGGGACTGATTCCTAGGACTCTGAGATCATGACCTGAGCTGAAGGTCATGATCTCAGAGTCCTGGGATTGACTGAGCCATCAGGGTATCCCTGAAAAAAATTTTTTTAAAGGCAAAACAGAAGTCCCACTCGGCTAATGGTATGTCACACGACCCATTATCTTTACTAGTAGTGCCGGTAACATTTGACCACCTCTCCCACAAAAAAGCTCTGGTCCAATTCCTTAGCAGTGGGTTCTCAGGCCTGAGTGATCACCAGAGTCACCCGGAAAGCTGGTGCAAACGCTGCCCGGCCCAGCCCTCAGAGCTCCTGATTCAGAAGGTCGGGGTGGAGCCCAGTAGTTTGCATCTCTACCCAGTGTGGCCTATGCTGCTGGTTCCAGAAACACAACTGAACTAAGACAGGGAGAAGATTCACTTCCTTGATTAGTACTACTGTTAGTCTCTCCACCTGACATGAGGCAGCAACTCTGCAACCCTGAGATCCACTCTGCCCGCTCCACGGACTGAGCCAGCCTGGTACCCCTGGGAGACATGTTTTCTAGAACAACTACAGCTTATACCTGTTTTCTCAAAGGTTAATTCTCCAACTATCTGCATAAAAATGCTTGGAAATCCCCACATCCAGGCCACACCCCAGACCAAGTAAGGCACTAAGTAAGGACTTAGGCATCAGTACTAGCCACAGTGAACAGCCGGGGCTACCCCACCCCCACATCCGCAGCAGGTAATAGGCCACAGGTAGGCCCGAGCCTTGGGCTGGGCAGGAAGTGGAGCACAGGTGCACCCTCTGGCTTACACCCTCCTCCCTTGACCCTCTTGTGCCCGTCAAGTACCAGGACTTCGATAAAGGCAGCATCCCTGACCGTAGGAAAGTTGACTTGTTTTGAGGAGATGGCGTCTCTCTGTAACCTCTACCGAAGGCTAACAGAGCCGCACATTTCAGAAGCTTGACAGAAAGTCTGCTTAGACTAGATTACAAACCAGTTACCTGAATGTTGAAATAAACCTCATTATCAGCAAAGAGCTGAACTGCATTATCCAACCGAAGGGAATATAATCAGAAACACGGTACTGAGTGCACTGCTCACCCTGAGAGAATAGAAAACCTTCACAACTAAAAAATTAGATTATAAAAACTTCCTCTTTAATCAAGGCCTTTTAACATGGAACAGATTTCTTGAATAAAATAAAAAGTTTCCAATACATTGAAACAAACCACCATCATACAACACCTGGCAGGAAACAAAACCAAACAGTAAGTTTACACAATCCCTGTGGCAGCCACGGCCTCACCCTCGGACGCTGCCTCTGTCCACCACATGTGTGCCGCCGGGTGCACAGCTCAGCATGGTTTCTGGGGTAACGCTCAGCGGAGGCCGCAGCGGAAGACCACTTGCTCCCCTGGCCGGGCCGTGGTGCTGTCGGCTCTGCTCCAGCAAAGCGGGCAGCAGCACATTCCAACAGTGACCTGAACGTCCTTTAAATACCAAAGTGAGAAACAAGAAGGCAACACAATGATGCTGTCGGGAAGATGTCAGCGAGCGAGGCAGCTGCGTGAAGCGCGAGGCTGAAGCGCCGCTGGCTTCATTTCTTCGGCTTCTTGGGCAGCGGCCGTCGGAACAACAAGATGTGAGGTTCTGAAAGAGGGGGGAATCCAAGGGACGCGCTCGCACCGATCTCTGCACTTCCCAGAGGTCACCCACTCAGACCTTTCCGACTAAACGCAGATGTAAGCGTCGGCCTCAGACACAGCCCCGCACGCCGGGCTATCAGCCGAGCCCAGAGCGGTTAGCGGTCAGCGCCTCTGCTGCTGGTACAGCCCTGCAGGCCTTTTTTAGTTCTGCCCAGCTGCTTGGGGTCTGGTGTCTTATCAAGAAATATACCTTTCTTGGCTTACTTGGAACACATCCAAAAATTCACTTTCTGATGGAGAATGATGCAGGGACCATAACCTCTACCAGGATCTACGTGGCCTTAGGAAAAAAAGGGTACACTCAGACTGAACTAGAGATGAAAGGAGGTTTTTCAGGGACAGGTCGTCTCTGAACCTCCCAGATACTCTCCTCTTATTTTTGGTCACTCCACTTTTTCTAGATGGCGGGTGAGGAACCAATAAAGCACCCTTGCCACCCCCCCCACTTGTCTGGGTTATACAATCTCATCATTCCCTCTTCCCCCAGGGAAGGAGCCTCCGTGGTTGCTCTCAGACGCTGCACCAACCTGGTTCGTGGATCATGTAATGGACCCATCCCTGACTCTGCTGCACGCCAAGGTTCCTCCATTCCGATTCAGACATCAGATGGGTCTTGGGGACGAGCTTGGCGATGTCCTTGGGCAACATGACGTGCCTGCAACAGAAGCATAGGAAGGGGGGTGAGTCACATCAGTACTGGGTGCCGTCTGCTAGACCAGAGCTTGCACACAAAGCAGAGAGGGCAGGAAGGAAAAACAGGCTTCTGACGTAGGGAGTTTATGCAACTTTTTGTGGGGTGGAGGCAGCTACAGATAAAGCCCAGTTATGTAAATTCTCACCAGAGCAGGTTAGGAAGCACACATTCATGAGTAACTCACGGGAAGGGGCACTGTTTTCCTGCCTTCCTGGGGCTCAGGCTGCGGCTTACTCTAGAACACATAAGGGCAGCCCCAGGGCAAACACAGCCAGTAACTAAAAGTAGTTTTTGAAAAGGGCTGGTTTTGCGGAAGAAAAGCCTCGGGGAGAGCTGCGTGAAGACCCACCACTAAGCATGAAATGGCCATGTCCTCCCCTCCACGGTTACCCCTGATCTCGTTTCCCTGCTTTGACGAGAGCCGCCATGAGACGTCTTCCCAAGTTCTCCTAACCAGGGCTAAGACCCCTTTCCGGGCGAAAAATTCTCCGACACGAACTGGGCTGACCCAGACTCCCTCAGGCTCCGTGGAAACACACCAGATGGGTAGCCAAAAACAGCGGCGGAGATGCTCTGCAAAGGCCCCAATCTAGTCCCAATACGTGACCGCAGCTTCCACTCCGACAGCCCCTGGCACGGGCTGCCTTCCACGCGCGGTCGGATCGGCCGCACAAACCCACCCCCAAGGCCTCCCCCGGTCCTAAACCGCGACAGCACCGCCAGGCCCCACCGACTAGCTAGCCCCGCAGGGTCAGCGCGCCCCGAGCCCAGCACTCGGCTGGAAAAGAAACCCAAGCCCGGCACGTTCCCACAGACACCAGCCCCGCAGCGGCGGGAAGCGCCACGCACTCGGGCCGGCCCCTCGCTCTTCGCGATCTCCCGGCGGTCAGACGCCAGCCTGCGGCAAGCGCCACCGGCCCCCGCGCGGCCGCACCGCCGCCCCGAAGCCCGGCAGGGTCTGCTCCGACTCTGCGGGCTCCGACGGGGGACCTCGCAGCCCCTTCCCCGGCCAGCTGCGCGCCCACGCCCCCCCTCCAGGAGCCCTCCAGCGCCGTCGCCGCACCCCCTCCCCGGCAGGCTCCGCAAGTCCAAGTTCGACATGCCCCGGGCCGCTCGAGAACGCTCCAGAGCCCTGTCAGCGCGGGGTGGGGGTGGGGGAGGTCCGCTTCCCACAAGAGCCACGCCCCCTCCGCCCGCTCCCCAGCTCAGGGCCGACTCGGAGCTCCCCGGGTCCGCACGCCGCCGCGCCGCCCGGCCCTCGCGCATGCGCTCTGAGCTCCCCGCCCGCGTCCCGGGAGTCTCTCGCGCATGCGCCGGTCCTGTCGCCTCGGCCCGGGTGAGTAACTCCTCTTGCCCTCCCTTGTCAAAGTTCGCAACCTCGTTATGTCCCCCGCGCCGGCACTAACCGGTACTCGAACTCCTCGTCGTCGTATTTGTCCGAGTAGTAAATCTGTTTGTGCGACATGATCGCTCCGTCTGAGGACCTTCAGGCCCGCGCCGCCAACCTCCAAACAACTCCCAGCAGCACGCGCTCCCACCCACTTTGGCCTCGCTTTCAAACACGCCGCCCGCGCTTCCTATTGGTCCCTTTGGTTTAAGGCGGGACGTCTCCACCTTCCAGCCTCGGATTGGCTTAGATTAGCTTCTCCTCGAGTCCTTATTGGAGTGGACGCCTAACGTTTGTCAAGAACCAACGTAGGTAAAACTTACGCCTCTAATTGGCTATTGCGACCCCGTGCGCGTTCTCGAGCTGCCATTGGCTGATTCGGGAAAGTGGGCCGGCTGAAGGAGGGACGCTGAGGTGCAGGGTCAGGGGTTAGTGAGGCCGGAAGTGAGTGCAATAAAGTTTGTTCAGGGAGGCCCGGCCGGGGAGAAAGTTGGAACAGCCACCTGAGAAGGCAGTGGCGTGATCCGGAACCAAATCGAGCCGCGGTGCGGTGCGGAGACTCCATGAGGCCCTGGTGAGTTGAGTCTTCTCCCTCTCCTTAGGTTACCCACTCCTCCACCCCGGAACCCCTCTCTCGGGACCCTACTTCCGGTCTGGACCTGTAAGCCCCGCCCCCCACGACCCCCCCCCCGGAAGTCCCACCCCCCATCTTCAGGGGGGCGCCCCGAACCCCGATTTGTTTTCTGTTTATTGTCCACGACCCCACCCTGTCGCCCAGCTTTCCTGGAAGTCCCACCCCCGGACATGCTTCCCAGCCCTACTGCGGGAAACCTGACGGTAGTGCTTCCAGCTTCCCGAGACCCCGCCTCCTGGCCAGGGGTCCGTCCCGAAGCCTGACTCCCAGAAGGCCAGGGCCCCGCCCCTCGGCCGCCCGGCCGGGCCCGCGAGGCCACGCCCCCAGAGCCCCGCCCGAGGCCCCGCCCCCTCCCGATCACGTCGGCGGTGCGAGAGCCTGGCCTCCGGGAAGTCCCGGGTGCAAGCGACCTGGGGCCACGCCCCCTCGGGAGAGCTCCGAGTGGGACCCGGGCCCCCTCAGAAGTGCCGTCTTGGGCCCCGAGGGCCCTGGCAGACAGAGTTCCCTTTTCTCGCGTGGGCCTCGGGCCCGGCTGTCCCTAGCGCTCTTGGTCCGGCAGGTGGGAAGTCCAGGTGTCCCGCCCGGTTCTGAGCGGCGCGAGGTCCGGGGCAGACCTCCGCTTCCCCTGCCCCCTGCCAAGACTTGGGGTTGGGCGCGAGAGGGGGACGGAGGCTTGCTCCTGGGTGCCCGGCCCTGGAGTTTCCCTGCCCAGGACCGACTCCGCCCCAGAGACAGCTGTAGGTCTCACACCTGCACCTCGGGAGCTGGTAGGGCCATGGGTTTGCTGGCGTGTGACCCGCGGGTGCGACAGGAGCGAAAGTTCTCTGCTGCCAGAAAACGGTGGCTTGGCGTGGGTGGAGGGGACAGTGACCTTTTTGCTGTTTTATTTTTATTTTATTTTTTTTTGGACTCCCCAGTCTCCATCGTTTCTTTGGCTCTTCCCCTCCCCCCTTCCAGAGTTCTTGTCTGGGCATTCCTCTTGGTCCCGCTCGCCCAGCCTTCCCTTCTGGAAACATTCCTGAGGCTTTCGCCATTTCCTGCTACTTGCCTCCTCCTCCCTGCTGGGCTGAGCTGCCACGAGCAGCTTCTCCCCCACACCCAGACACCCCGACTCCCAGTAGGCAGTCTCTTTTCCTATGCAGATTTAAAGCGCCCGACTTCCGCTGTCTCTCCTCCAAACGCCCACACCTGTTGATTGTTCCCTGCCTCTGGATTGTGCGGGCTCCCGTGGGCTCCCGTGGGCTCCCGTAGGCGGAGACGTCCTGCCCTGCGTGTTGGGGGTGCGAGGCCAGGGCAGAACCCCTTCTTCTATCTCTCTGGGCCTGAGCGCTGAAGGCCTGAGGAAATGGAGTGACTGAGACCAGGGGAGAGTTTAGCATGGTATCTAACACCATATAAGTGTTAGTATTATCAGTCGTTGTAGTTTGCATCTTTGTATCTTCTGGAGTTTTAAGAGTAGGTAATCCCGAGATGAGCGTGGGGGTCCTGTGTATCTTCAACTAATTGTTTTGCTCCTCCATGGCCCCTCTAGCAGAGCTGTGTCTGGGAGCCGGGTTTGGAAGGGATGGCTGGGGCTGTTCCCCATGTCCAGCCCCAGCCTTCCAGGCACAGCCTTGTCTGCTGCTCTCTCTGTCCCTTTCTGGCCTGCAGCCCCCACTTCTCCTGGAGAATGGTTTCACTTTTCCTCCTCCTCCAGCCAGACTTTGCCCCTGGTTTTGGGGGGCACTGTGCTCCGTGGTGGACATATGCAACTTCCCCTCTCCCCACTCCAGGAGGAGGAGCTCGAACCAGCCAGCCGCCCCTGCCAGCTTGCTTTGCTGACTAGGCCTGTGGAAGGGGCCACAGAGAAGTGCTTGGCTGGGGGCTGCTGCTCCTTGGCCTGGTGGGTGCTGTGGGAGGGCTCCATCAGCCTGTCCTGTGCCCCAGCTTTCGCCCTGGTGCACCGCCCAGGTTGGACTTTGTTCTCACTTCTCCAGCTTTGCTCTTCCTCTTGGCCCCTCTCTGTGTCCGCTGGGACCACTTCCATCCTTTCCCATTTTCCTAACCTCCTGCCCACAGCTGTAGTAGCAGAGGGTGCTAATGGCCCAGGCTCCCTGGGGCCACCCCCCCCCCCCCCCCCATCGTGTGGTAGTATGTTGGGGGGGTGACCTGGAGGAGGGGGGCGTTTGAGTGTTCCACCAGGACAGGAAGGGAAGTGCTGAGCTCAGGGATCCGCTCCCTTTTCCACCCCCAGCTCCCTGTTTCCTCTCTCATTCCCCCTACCCTCCCGCAGCTTCCTGCTCCCTTTGGCCTGCCCCTGTCCTGTGTGGATTGATCCAGACCTCCTCTTATTTCCCTCCTTTCTTTCTCATTCCTACATCCTTCCCTCCCACCCCCACTTTCCTCCTCCCCAGATTACTGGTGGTTTGTCTGGGGGCAGCGGCGGGGCAGTGGTGGGGGTGCACGGAGGGAGTTCCATCCCAGCCAGAGTCCGGGGCTGTGGCTGTGCTGGGGGCTTAGCCCCGTCCAGCCTGTGAGTCAGCACTGTCCCTGGGATTGGTCTCCGGCCTTAGGGCTCCGCCCCTGGGGAGGAGCAAGGCAGCTCCGGGTCCAGCCTGTTCTCTCCGCAGCTGGAGAAGCGGCTCCACGCTGGGCGGGGATGGGGCCGGAAACCCTCTGGGTCTGAGCCCGGGGCGCTGGCGCCACTTGTCCCTCTCCCTCTCCAGGATCCTGGAGATCCCTGGGCCCTAGAGGTCCGGTCCGACTAAGGGCCTGGGGATGCCCCCTGCCTGGCCCCCTTGCCTGGGCTGGCAGGGGGGCCGGGCTGGGCAGCAGCCTCCCTCCGGCAGCAGCCATGGATCTCCTGCCCCCCAAGTCCAAGTACAACCCTCTCCGGAACGAGTCTCTGTCATCGCTGGAGGAGGGGGCTTCAGGGCCCTCCCCACCGGAGGAGCTGCCTTCCCCATCAGCCTCATCTCTGGGGCCCATCCTGCCACCTCTGCCCGGGGACGACAGTCCCACCACCCTGTGCTCCTTCTTCCCCCGAATGAGCAACCTGAAGCTGGCCAACCCAGCTGGGGGGCGCCCGGGGCCAAAGGGGGAGCCAGGAAGGGCAGCTGAGGATGGGGAGGGGCCCGGAGGGGTGGCTGCGCCAGACTCAGGCCCCCCGCCCCTCCTCCAGGACATGAACAAGCTGAGTGGAGGCGGCGGGCGCAGGACTCGGGTGGAAGGGGGCCAGCTGGGGGGCGAGGAGTGGACGCGCCACGGGAGCTTTGTCAATAAGCCCACACGGGGCTGGCTGCATCCCAACGACAAAGTCATGGGACCCGGGGTTTCCTACCTGGTTCGGGTGAGTGAACGTCCTGCCATTCCCTCCGCCCTCCGCCCTCCCAGACCCCTCTGTCTCACTTGGGCTTTTCTGGAGCCTCTGGTTTTCTGCTCTTCCTAGCACCACCCTTGGTTTCAGGGTCCTGTTTCTCATCCCTTCTTGCTCCTTCTCCGCTTCTGCGGCCCCTCCCCTTCCAGCTCTGCCTGGGCCCCTTCCTTCTGGTGACCACCCCCACCCTGCCATGCTTAGCACAAAGCCCAGCACTTAGTAAGTGTGGGAATGAGTGAGCCTCGATCGCGTCCTCCGGCCTCCTTCCGCTGTGGATGTCACTCCACCCACTACTCGCCCCCCCCCCCAGTGCCTGTCACTGCCCTCCACAATCTCTCCCCAGGTGCCCCAGGCCCTCCCAGCTTGCCCTTTTCTCTGCTCCTCATTTCCTGTGGTCTTGCGTGTTGTGGGGCGTTGTGGGGCATAGCCACAAGCAGTGGGCAAAACTTCTTCATCTTTATTCTTCTTTAGGGAGCATGTAGGGAAAAGGCCCAGGGCTCTTTGTGAAGGGGTGGGGGGAGGCGGCTGACTGCTCCCCTCCATCCCTCCCTCAGTACATGGGCTGCGTGGAGGTTCTGCAGTCAATGCGCGCCTTGGACTTCAACACCCGCACCCAGGTCACCAGGTCAGCGGGGGCGGGGGGTCGGGGAGGAGGGGACGGGGGGGGGGGGGCGCCCTGAATTAGTGAGGGGAGCAGGGGAGTGGGTCTTGGTGGCTTACTAGCCACGGCTTAGCTTTAGGTAAAGGGGATAGAGAGAGAGTTGGGGGAGTGAGTCTAAGTCTGGATGAACAGAGGTGCCTCTGGTCTGGGTCCCGCTCACTTTTCCAGTCCTGTGGGTTGTGGGGGAGGCGGCAGAGCAGCTGGCGGCCGGAGCCCGAGTGTAGGATGGGGTGTATGGAAGGTTGCCGCTGGCTTTGAGAAGGCCATGGGACATTCATTTGGTAGCTGGAAGGAGGTGGGGCCAGACCCACAGAGGCCCTAACCCAATCAGCCAGGAAGTGGCCTCTCCGTGTCATCAAATATTAAAGGCCCTTAATTCAATCCACCACGACAAAGAGCCTGGAGTGCCCCTGGAGTCTGGCCTGGTCCTCCCCTCCCCCTGCCCTGTGGCCGCCCCAGTGAGCGGGAGACCGGCTCTGGAGCGGGAGACAGGCTCTGCGTCTGAGGACCCCTTTCTCGCCAGGGAGGCCATCAGCCTGGTGTGTGATGCCGTGCCCGGTGCCAAGGGGGCGACGAGGAGGAGAAAGGTACCTGGGGCCAATGGGGCTGGGGGTGCTGTTGGGAAATGTGGGGGAGTGGGGGAAGACAAGCATGGGGACGTGTGGGGACAAGGCCAAAAGACAGAGGGTGGGGGATTTCTGGTGTGGGGAACCCCCGGCTTCTGAGACCCTCGGGTCCTTCGCTAGCCCTGTAGCCGCCCGCTCAGTTCCATCCTGGGGAGGAGTAACCTGAAATTTGCCGGGATGCCGATCACTCTCACCGTCTCCACCAGCAGCCTCAACCTCGTGGCCGCAGACTGCAGACAGGTTGGTGGGGTCGGGCGAGGGGGCCAGAAGCCCTGCGGGGAGGGCCAGGAGTAAGACAGGAAGGAGGAGCTTAGGAGCACCTGGGCTAGGAAGCCAAAGTCCAGGGCTTGGGCCGGGGCTGGGGGCACCCAGCTCAGCCCTGAGGCTGCCTGACCCGTCCCTTCCCTGTCCCCTGCCCTAACCTCAGATCATCGCCAACCACCACATGCAGTCTATCTCGTTTGCGTCCGGTGGAGACCCGGTGAGTTGGGAAACAGGGTGGAGGGGGGAAGAGCAGGGGCTGCAGCAGCTGGAGAAGAGGCCACACTGGGATCGAAGCAGTGTCTGGGAGGGCCTGGGCTTTTAGGGGTCGGGGGTGAGGTGGGCCATAAAACTGAGCTAAGGGGCTGTTTCTGACCCTGCCCACCCCAGGACACAGCTGAGTACGTCGCCTATGTTGCCAAAGACCCGGTGAATCAGAGAGGTGAGGCGTGGTGGGGAGCTGGGTGGGGCCGGCTGTCCGGGAGGCAGGTGAGCAGGACCCGGGGAGCTAAGTGGGGGCTCCGGCCGGGAAGATGAGGGCCCCCCGGCAGTGTCCGGTCCTAGCGTGAGCTCGGGGCTCACGGGCCACCTCTGCTGTGTCCCCAGCCTGCCACATCCTGGAGTGTCCTGAGGGGCTGGCTCAGGATGTCATCAGCACCATCGGCCAGGCCTTCGAGTTGCGCTTCAAACAGTACCTCAGGAACCCGCCCAAGCTGGTCACCCCTCATGACAGGTGAGCTGGTGTGGAGGGGGTGGAGCGGCCCCTGGGCCCTGGGGCCCTGCTGAGAGAGCGGTTCTGCTCCACTGCCCAGACTCGAGCAGAGAGGTTTGGGGGCCTGGCGTGTGTGGGGGGACAACCTGCGGGCCTGTTTCCCCCTTCCTGCTATTCTTACATTTCCTGCGGCCGGTAGGAAAGTCTGGCCAGGCCCTGCCCTGCTGTAGGCCCACTCTTCCTCTCGCGGCCCCGGGCTCCTGCGCTGCCGGCCTGTTGGCCTCTCTTGCCCATTTCTCCATCCGTAGTTTTCCATTCTCCTGCCCCCAGGAGCCATCAAGACTTGGGTGAGGGAGGATGTCTTTCTCCTGAGGTCTCTGCCTTTCGCTGTCCCCTCGAGGCCTCTAGCTGTGGAGCATTTAGAGGAGACTCGGGCGCTCTGGAACGCAGCTCTTCTTGCTCTCTTGCGTTGCTGCTTCCCTCCGTCTGGGGAGGCAGCACGATAATCGAGGCCATGAACCCTAAAATCGAATCTGGTGTTGCAGCTCAGGTCCGTCACCTTTAACTGTGAAACCACAGGCAGATTTCTCCACCTCCGACCCTCATCTCTGCGCTCTGTCACTGGAGAGGGAAGTGGGGCTACCTTGAGGGACGACTGTGTATAGAAAACAGCCCTCCTCAGGCCTGGCCTGCAGGAAGTGCCCGGCCCATGGACACTGCCTGTGCCCCTCCCACCTGTTCCTCTCAGGATGGCTGGTTTTGATGGCTCAGCTTGGGATGAGGAAGAGGAAGAGCCACCTGGCCACCAGTACTATAATGACTTCCCGGGAAAGGAACCCCCTCTTGGGGGAGTGGTGGACATGAGGCTTCGGGAAGGAGCCCCCCTTGGGGCAGCTCGATCCCCCCCACCTGTTGGCCAGACCCCCAGCCACCTGGGAGCAACGCTGGTGAGTCGCTTGGGTGGAGGTGGGCTGGGCGTGGCCGGCCTGGGCTTCTGGTCTCACCTTATTTTTGTCCCTGCAGCTGGTGGGGCAGCCTGTGGGGGCAGACCCGGAAACCCGCAGACAGATGCCACCTCCGCCGCCCTGCCCAGGTGTGAAGGGAGCTGGGAGGGGCAGAGTCTGGGTGCAGGAGGCGGGGCTGGGGCCACTGTGACGCTGCCCTTTGCTCAGCAGGGAAAGAGCTCTTTGACGATCCTTCTTATGTCAACGTGCAGAACCTGGACAAGGCCCGGCAGGCAGGGGGTGGGGCTGGGCCTCCCAATGCTGCCGTCAATGGCAGCACGCCCCGAGACCTCTTTGACATGAGTGAGTGCTGCTGTCTCCTTTTCTGCGTCTCCATCTTCTCCCGCGGTTCCTGCTCTTCTGCCTTCCCCTCCCTGAAGGTGTGGGTCCTGGCCTGTGTTGGGCCAGTGGCCCCTCTCAGCCCTCTCTCTCTGAACCCCCAGAGCCCTTCGAAGATGCCCTTCAGGTGCCTCCGCCCCCCCAGGCGGTGGCCATGGCTGAGCAGCTCCGAGGGGAGGCCTGGTTCCACGGGAAGCTGAGCCGGCGGGAGGCCGAGGCGCTGCTGCAGCTGCACGGGGACTTCCTGGTGCGGGAGAGCGCGAGCAGCCCGGGCCAGTACGTGCTCACTGGCCTGCAGAGCGGGCAGCCCAAGCACCTGCTGCTGGTGGACCCAGAGGGCGTGGTGAGTGGCGTGGGGCCATGTGTTGGGGGACACTGCGGCGCGCTCCCGCGGAGCCCTGGTCTCCCCTCGCTGCCACCCCCTTTCCCTGCTCGGCTCGCGTGTGCAGCCCCCTTCCGGCAGGACGGCGTCCTTCCCTTCGCACAGCCCTGGGCCCGAGCTCTGTTCCTCTCGGTCCTCAGTTCTCCATCTGAGCTCGAAGGTGTTCAGCCTGCCCGAGCCCCTCTTCTGACAAACGAGGAAACCATCCCGGAGAGGTGCTGATGCCCGGCGTCAGAGGCCTGGAGCCTAGAAACACCAAATCTCCTTTTGCAAGAGGAGGGAGGGGCCTCTGCAGCCCCTTCGGACTCAGGGCTCAGCCTGGCGTCCTGTCGCCTGCCCGCACCGCCCCACTGTCCATCCTGACTTTCGGCTCTTCTCCACAGCAGTCCCCATCTCCCTCCCCCAAATTTCTCGGAGTGTGTGTCCTCCTCTGAGACAGGCCACCCAACAGGTCGGGAGAGGCGGTATCCCTCAGCTTCTCAGTTTCTGGTCCTGTTGTCCTCTCGGCCTGCTGCCAGAGCTAGCTGTGGGATCCTCTTCTAGAGACGCCTTAGTGGCCTGGGCTGACAGTCCTCCCATCCCGGTCTTTTTCTCCTTCCTCATCCCTCAGTATAGTTGTCTCCTTTCTGCAGCCTTTGACTTTGCGCCTGAATTGACCCCTTCCTTCCTGCTGCTCAGGTTCGGACAAAGGACCACCGCTTTGAGAGCGTCAGTCACCTCATCAGCTACCATGTGGACAATCACTTGCCCATCATCTCTGCGGGCAGTGAACTGTGTCTCCAGCAGCCCGTGGAGCGGAAGCTGTGACCATCTCAGTGCTTTCTCCCCGAAGGGGCCCTCCCACCCCTTCCACCCTACTCCTTGATTCTCAGGACCTCATGTGGGAGCGTTCTGTGGGCGTGGCCTTGTGTTGGAGCTGGGGATAGTGTGGACACGGCTCAGCACCCACTGAATGAGAGGGTTTGTCAGAAGCTGGGCATAGAATTCTGTTTCTTCCCGAACCTTACCAAAGTATTATTGAACAGAGTGGCTCCCTTCCCTGGGCCTTTCCTGTGCCAATCTGATACCCCCTTCCCCAAGAAGGTGGGTGCTTGAGGCGTGGGCAGTGTGTCTCCTTGAAGTGAGAAAGGCTTTAATGGGGGCATTCACCTTTCCAAGGAAGGGGGATGAATCACACCTTTGGTCTATCCCTGGGCTCAGGGTATACCCCAGACCCCTTTCAACAACCCTCCCTCCCAGTGGTTAAACTTTGTGCCTTTGACCATCTCCTAGGTCTGAAGATATTTTATGCAAAGAGTTCTTGAGCCCCTGAGGTTGAGGGTGGGGGTACTGACACCTTCTTGGCTTCTGGGACCCCCCTCCAGTTGAGGTTGGGAGAACAGAGGCAGGAATGTTAGCTGTCCCTTCTACCCCGGGACAGGCAACCCTTAGATATTGCCTCAGAGCCCCCTTCCTGGCCAGCGGGGAGATGGACCCCTCCCTTGCTCAGTGCCTCCTGGCCAGGGGGCACCCCTCACCCAAGGGGTCTGTACATACATTTCCTAAGTCCTGTGTCGTCTTCCCCCCCACCATGTTGCATGCATCTTACACTCTACAGCCAAAGCATAGCTCTGGGTCCTGCAACCCTCCTGGGGGGGGGGGTGGCGGGTGTTGGTCGGGGGGTGGCAGGGACTGGATTTAGTCCTCCTGACCTGGTATCTTTCCCAGGGGGATCTGTGGAGGCAGGAACGGGGCAATCGAGAAGAAAGCAGTGGACAATCCCCAAATACCATCTGTAGACTTGGGATTTATTTTTATTTTTTATGCATATATTTTAGGGCTATAAGTTTATTTTCCTTATGTGTTTTCCGTGGCAAAATGACAATAATCAATTACGTGTACACGTCACCTCTTTGACTTTTCAAAGCCTTTTACAATGATTGGCATCTTCCTCCTCCCACCCAGTCTTGGCGGCGGCTGGGCCCACAGCATTCTCCTTTCCAGCAGAGACGCAGGGCTCCAGGAGGGGTCCCAAGCCAGGACGGCGCGAGGCGGGGAGGCCCCACGGGTGCGAGCCGCTTCACTCCTACAGCAACGGGGCCTGGCCGCCTCGCCCGCCCTTCGCAGAGCGCCTGGAGCGCGTCCTGCCGCTGCGAGTCTGGGTCTCCTCCGTCTCCGTCCCGGCCTTTCCGTCTCGTTCGCGCGTCTCCACGGGTCTCGATGATACCAAAGGGAAATCGTCATTAAAGTCCCTATTTCTTGTACCTCGGCCTCGTGGTCCCTGTTGCTGCCCGTCCGCGACCCCGTCGGCGGGCGGTGGGTGGGGGTCTCCTGCACCCACGCGTCCGCGCACGGGCCCTCGGCTCCGGCCGCCCGGTGGCCCCGCCCCCGCCCCGCCCCGCCCCCTCGCTGCGCGGTGGAGGCGGTCGCGCCGACTTCCGCTTCCGGTCGCCGCTGCCGCCGCCGCTGCTGCTGCTGTGGCCGCGGGCAGGCGGCTGGCGCTGCGCTCGCTCCCGGGCCTCGCCGCCTGGCCTGGCCGCTCCTTGCGGGCGTCCCGACCCCGCTCCCGGCGATGGTGCCGCCCGAGCGCGCGTCCGTCCCCCGCCGCCGCTGACCCCGGCACCCCCCACCCCCCCGCCCCATGGCCGCCTCGGCGCCGCCCCCACCGGACAAGCTGGAGGGAGGTGGCGGCCCCGCACCGCCCCCTGCGCCGCCCGGCACCGGGAGGAAGCAGGGCAAGGCCGGTGAGAGCGCCGAGGGGCTGGGCCCGCCGAGCACTCGAGGGGCCGGGGGGCCGGGGTCGGGAGGCGGGGGGTGGTTCCGGGGGCCCGAAGGGAGGCTCGGGCAGGAGGGGTGGGGGTCGGGCGTCGCGGATGGGGCACCCCGGAGCCCCGGGGGAGTCGGAGGGCATGTCTGTCGTTGAAGGGAGGAGGCGGCCGAGAGTGCGGTCGCGCGGCGTGTCTCGTGTGGCACCTTTGTTCGTACCGAGTCTGGGAGCGGGCGCCTGTCCGAGTTGGAGGACCCCCTCCGGGCGCGTCCGGGACACTGGAGGTGGGGCAGCCCCGGGGAAACGCGTTTGTGTGTGCCCTGTGCTGCGCTTCCAGGTCTGCAGATGAAGAGCCCGGAGAAGAAGCGGAGGAAGTCCAGTACTCAGGTGGGTGGTGCCGCCCCCGCCGTGCGAGCACCTGCCTCGCGTGCGGGGAGGACGGCGGCTCCGCTGCTCGCCCTGTCTCTCCGCTTCCTCACCGATGGGGGGTGGGCGCCGTGGGGCCGCCGATCTTACCGGTCGGGCCAGCGGGCTTCCTCGCCCCGCACGTTTCCTGTCCCGATTCCCTCCTGGCAGGTGACACCTCCCCCTTACCGAGGTTTGTTTCGGTGACTTCTCCGGCCCTCTGTGCTTCTGACGCTTTGACAGTTTGGGGAGATAGGCACCGTCCCCGTTTTACAGAGGAGGGATCCGCGGCTTCAAAAAGCGGAACACCCGCCTAGGGGTCTGGAGATTATCGGTTGTCAGAGCGAGGACTCGGCCCGGTTCTGTTGCTCTGTTACAGTCAGGTCTGTCCCCATTTACATCTGAGCTGCCCGTGAGGAGCGTCCAGAACAGGCTGTTTTCGCTGCCCTCCTGTGGTTTTGTGGCTGTGTGCTTCCCTCTGTAACTTCGTTCCCTCACCTGTTCCCCACTAGGGCCCTGCATACTCACATCTGACGGAGTTCGCACCACCCCCGACTCCTATGGTGGACCACCTGGTTGCATCCAACCCTTTTGAGGATGACTTTGGAGCCCCTAAGGTGGGGGGTGCGGCCTCTCCATTCCTGGGCAGTCCTGTCCCCTTTGGAGGCTTCCGTGTACAGGGGGGCATGGCAGGCCAGGTACCCCCAGGCTATGGCACTGGGGGTGGAGGGGGCCCCCAGCCTCTTCGGCGACAGCCCCCACCTTTTCCTCCCAACCCGATGGGCCCTGCATTCAACATGCCCCCCCAGGGCCCTGGCTACCCACCCCCAGGCAACATGAACTTTCCTACTCAGCCCTTCAGCCAGCCTCTGGGTCAGAACTTCAGCCCTCCTGGCGGGCAGATGATGCCAGGCCCAGTGGGGGGATTTGGGCCCATGATCTCACCTACCATGGGTCAACCTCCCAGAGGAGAGCTGGGCCCCCCTTCTCTTCCCCAACGCTTTACCCAGCCAGGAGCACCTTTTGGTCCTTCTCCTCTCCAGAGACCTGGTCCGGGGCTCCCCAGCCTGCCCCCCAACACAAGTCCCTTCCCTGGCCCGGACCCTGGCTTTCCTGGCCCCGGTGGTGAGGATGGGGGAAAGCCCTTGAATCCACCTGCTCCCACTGCCTTTCCCCAGGAGCCTCACTCAGGCTCCCCAGCTGCTGCTGTGAATGGGAATCAGCCCAGTTTCCCCCCAGACAGCAGTGGGCGGGGTGGGGGGCCCACAGATGCCAACAGCCTGGCACCCCCCAGCAAGGTGGGCGGGGGCTCGGGGCCTCAGCCTCCCCCGGGCCTGGTGTATCCGTGCGGCGCCTGTCGCAGCGAGGTGAACGATGACCAGGACGCCATCCTGTGTGAGGCCTCCTGCCAGAAGTGGTTCCACCGCGAGTGCACCGGCATGACGGAGAGCGCCTACGGGCTGCTGACCACCGAGGCCTCTGCTGTCTGGGCTTGCGATCTCTGCCTCAAGACCAAGGAGATCCAGTCTGTGTACATCCGCGAGGGTGTGGGGCAGCTGGTGGCTGCCAATGATGGGTGACGCCAGCCAGGGGCGTGGTCTCCAAGTCTGGCTCTTGGTCCTTGTTTCCACTGGCTTCCCGTCCCCGTGGGGCAGAAACACAGTGGCTCCTGGGGCCAGAGAAGGACCTGAGGTGGGCAGGCAGAAGCGCCTGGATCACTCACCCTTCTGGAAACTTACATGGACACGTTGAGATCCACAGAGATCCGGGGAACCAAAGCCTGGCTGTGTATCGTGGTGGCTCCAGTCCTGAAGGCCGAGGGCTGTGGCTGCGAGGGAAGAGAGGCTAAAGGAGGATCTGGAGGGCAGGGGCCTCCCCCATGCAGGCCACGAATGCCCCGCCAGCCACACCCCCCTCCCCTTGGTGTTGGTGCTTGGAGTGACCTGTTAAAGGGCTCTGACTAGAGGAGTGGGTTCCCAGCCCTGCAGTAACCTCTTTGTGGGCCTTAGGAGACAGCTGTAGGGAATAGATGGGGAATTTCCCTTTTTCTCACCCTCCCCTTGCTTTCTCCCAAGACCTACCTAAGTCCTACCCCCGTCAGAGAACCAAATAGCTTGAGAAAGCAGGAGAGCTGTTGGCTGGGGCGGTTTTTTGGTGATTGGGGCTTCGAGACTGTGGGTAAGAGACGCTGTCCAGACATGTGTGTCCCTTATACCAAAGCCACTGGCCCTTTCTCAGCCTCTCTTGGGCTTTTCTCCCAATGACCGTATTCTTGCCAAAAATTGGGCTTTGCGGTCTAAGGGATCGGGATATTTGAAGTTTAGACTGCCCTGGACCAGGGACCCTGCTCGCCCAGCCCTCTCCGCCTCGCCCGTTTGTTACGCGGTTCCGGCAGCGCGACCAAGGCGCTGGTCTGTATTCTTCCGCCTCCCTGGCTCGAAGGAAAGCTTGGACGGGCACAGACCGCTTATACCTCATCCCCTGATAGAAGGATCTCTGTCCCCGCGTGGGTGAGGGAGGTGGCGGGCCGGTCACTGCGGTGGTCCTGAGATGCAGTCCAGAGACTGGTGTTTTGCTTCTCTTTCCCTGCCTTTCTGTGTATCTGCTGGGCCCCGGGGGGTCTGGCAGTATCCCTTCGTTCCCAGAGGCCGGCACTGGGCTCTGTGTGTTCATATTTTACTTTTTATGCACCGCCAACCGGAGCTGGCCCTGCGCCCACGGAGGAGCCCCGCGCCGCGGTTCCCTGCGGTTCGAGCGCACATTCCTCGGTGGGGTGGGCAAGGCAGGCACGGGTGTGGCCCGGAGAGGCGCCCCGGGTCCCCTGGCCGCTGCTCTGGGGACCCTAGCCTCGGAAGACTTAGCGAGTGTACTGCAGAACGCATTTGCCTGCCCAGGTGGGCAGCAGCGTCGAGGCTGTGGAAAAGAAGGGAGGGGGTTCTGGGCTTCTCTCTTCCAGTGTCTGCCCCCCCCCCCCCCCCCGTCGCCTTGTGTTGTGCTTGTGGTTCTGTTGCCCTCCTTCATCTGTTGCTATTTTTGTGATGTCTTCCTCCCCTGCCTCCCATCTCTGCCTTTTGTAAGTGGCTCCTGGGGTAAGGGGTCTGCTCAATTCTTTCCCTCTCCGCTACTTTTTGGAAGGAAGGAGGGGTGGCAGAGATGTGGTGATGGGGGTCTTTTTTTTTTTTACCGTTGGGTTAATAAAAAGACTTGAAAACTCAGACAAGGACTCCTGCTCTTTCTGGGCACAAAGGTTGGAGTGAACCTCGCCCCGGCGGGAAGGCTTGCGGGGGGGAGGATGGGTATGTGGCCCAGGGTTCCTGGCAGCGGGACTGGCAGAGAGATTGGGGCCCCGAGCTGATCTTAGTCGCAGTCCTAGTCCTTCCTAGTCGAGGAGCCGAGGGACGCCCGAGCGCGCCACCCCTCCCCCTGCGTCCCCGCTGTGAGAACGTGTTCCTTTTCTGGGCACATTCCTGGGCCAGGCAGGCAGCCAGGGTCTCGGGGACGGGGACAAGTGCCGTTTAGTGCTTCTAGGCTCAGCGCTCCCTCCCGCACCCCGGCCGGCGCTAGCGGTCCAGCGGAGCGGGAAGCGGCGGCCCCCGGTCTAGCAGATTTCATTTGGGGACGCCACCCCCTCCCCTTTGGCAAGAGTAGCCGTGGAACCCTCCCTCGGCACCCGGGCCGGCTGAGAACGGCCGGAGAGCTATTTCCAACCCTCGGCGCGCCGTGTCCCCTCCCCCACCCTGCAGCTGTGTCCCTCCGTCCTAGGGTCGACCTTGCCCCTCGCCCCTGCTGTCTCGGGAGGTGCCGCCCTCTGCCTTCCAGCGGTGGCTCTTCCCGGGAGAAACTGTCTAGACCCCGGGAAGTGGGGAGGTCGCCCACCACGCAGCTCGCCCCGGGAGGGGGGCGGGGGTCCGGGACCCGAGTAGGCCCCCCTCCCCGCCCGGCCTCCCAACGTCAGCTCTTATTGGCCCGAAGTTTCCGCCCCCTCAGGGACTTGGCCTTCCATTGGCCGGCCCCGGCCACGTGGTTCGGCCTCCCTCCCTCCCTCCGGGGGCTGGAAACCCCGGGCGGCAGCAACAGGTCCCGGCGGGTCCG